GAGGAGGAGGGATAACGCAGGCAACGCAGGGACGGGCCAACAGCCAGTGGGACGAACGAGGGCCGCGACGGCGGCTCAAGCGGGAGGGAGCGGAGACGGTGGGCAGCGAGCGAAGTGGGTGAGACTGATGATGCTCCTTCGACTTAGGGAGCGGTTCAGCTGCTGGGCGGGCTTCAGGCTGGTGCTCACGCGAAAAGGAATCGACGCGATGTGCAAAGCATACAAGAAGGGGACAAGGAAGAGGAGAGACGCCAGTGATGACGAAGCAGAAACTAGCGCAGACGAGAGCAGGGCAGAGCCGGGGACTGGGGAGCCGGAGCAGACGGCATCGGCCGCCGAGGGAACGTTGGGAAGAGGCACGAGGAGGGCGGCGACCTCGACCGACTATGGAGGACCCGTCGCCAGACGACGCAGGGCAGAAGACGGTGAGGCGGAGCAGACGCGCAGGGCGAGACGAGGGAGGGAGCAGGACTTTGCGGAGATCAGCAGGAGGATGTACGAAGAGATTAGGAGCAGCAGGGACCCGAGGGACCATGTGGAAGACGTCACAATCGCCTGGGCCAGCCTCTCGTGGGACGCCAACAAGATCAACACCGCGTTCCCGCTCACCTGAGGCACTGGCGCCAACTTAGCACCGTGGTGGTTTAACTAGCTCCCGTAGTTATGTCCTGGCTAGCTCCCGTGGCGGTTCTTTCTCTTGTGGTTTATGTGTTGTGTCCACCGCGGGGGTTATGTCCTGACTCCTCAGGACATAACTCCTGACGTGAGCGGTGAGCTCGTGAGGTCTGCCGTGGGCGGCCTCGAGCGCCCGGCGCGTCTCGTGCCACGCCGTTTTTTTCTCGTTTTTAGACAATTAGGAATTCCTACCCCGTCTTCCAATATCGTCGAGCACATCGTTTTATTTTTCAACGGCGCTCCCCCTGCTGAGTGTTCCCTTCCCCTCTTGATATACGACCGCTGCTCCTCCCTCGCCGCCCGGGATCCACTTGCCGCCTCTGCTCACGGACCACAGGGGCCGCACAGCCCCATGTCCGTGCCTCGCGCACACCGCTGGGACATCGTGAAGGCACTCCCGCTTGTCCTCGCCGTCCTCGCCGGCCTCGGCCTGCTTTCGCGACACCGGCACTCTCCGCGAGCGGCCGTGGCTGATTTGGCGCCGGTGGAGGTGGTGGCCGTGGTGATAGCCTCCAACGGCTACACCGCAAACTACACCATCAACACGCTCCTCACGGCGGGCCGGTGGGAGGGTCCTATCTACGTCGTCGGAGAGCACTGCGAGCGGCGGGTCGCGCCGGGCGAAGCCGACGCCGCGGGCTGTGCGAGCGAGACGTGGCAGCGGCCAGACCTGCTGCCCGCTGGCGCGCCGTCCCGGGCGCTGGGCGCAAAGGCGATCAAGACGCGCCTCCTCGACGTGGCGGTGGGCGCGAAACGGGTCCTCTACCTCGACTCCGACATCCTCGTGCGCAGAGCCGCCAGACACAGACATACAGATAAACATGCATATTGTCCAGCTGTGTACCATCGCACCACATCAGTTGCACTTGCACAGCGTTCTGCTGTGTATTCGTGTACGCGCAGCCCCCTTTTAGCATCCAAGCGGCGGAGGCGCGTCGTCTTCTTTTCTTTGTCTCGCAGGTGCAACGCCCACTCGCGACGTCCGCCTTTGGCGCGCTGCTGCGGCGGCGCGACGCGTGGAGCCCGGGCTGCGAGGCGTACTTTGAGCGCGAGCGGACCTTTGTTCGGCAGCGGCGCGCGTTTGCCGCCGGCGAGCCCGCGAATAAATGCAATGGGGTGTTCGTCGTGAGCGGAATGAAACTGATGAGCAGGCCCGCTCCCCCCCCCGGGGTCCGGGGGGCGGGGTACAACTTCCCCTACGGGTGTTTGGGCCCCTTTGTCCTCAATGTGGGGCAGTCGAGGGGGCTCCTCGACACGGGGCGGGAGGAGATCCTTTCGGCCAAGGAGCGTGTGTCCCGTAATCCCCATAAAACCTCCCCAAATTTCCCCAAGAAAAAATGCTTTCCCCGTTGATGGGTCCCGTTTTTTTCCCCCCAAAGGTTTCCTAAAAAATAATCCCCTCCCGCGCCCCCTGCATTAGGATACAACCCCCACCCCCGTGTAGAGCCCGGGTTTCATTGCCGGGGAGGGTTACCCCCCCCCCCCCCCCTGGGCCCTGGGGACTCGCTCTCATACCTCCCCTTCACCCTAGTTAACCCTGTCGCTCGACCAACACGCGCTCTACACATTATTGTTGCTGTGTTAATACTACTGTCATGATTACCATTCTCATTGTCGGGGACGAAGGTGTCGCTCGATCAGCACGCGCTGCACCGCGCCGTCGCGCGCGGGTACATCCCCCCCCCCCCTCCTGCTTATAACTAAACTATTGGCCGCCATCAGTCGTCCACAACCAAGACGTCGCCTCTCGACCACGTCTCATAGGCACGCCGTCTGCCCGCTGCCCGACGACACGCGCTACGTCAAGGACCTCGAGGGCGCGCTGCGTGGGCTGCTGCACACGCGCACCCTGCTGCACTTCCAGACCGCAAAGGCGTCCCTGCCAGACTACTGTGCGGCGCGGCGGGGAGGGTGCTCTGCGCCGGCGACGGCGACGGCGCAGCAGATTGTTCGCGTCGACGTGAGCGCGCCCCCCCCCGGGACTGGGAGGAGGCCTCCTGAGAGTGGGCGAGGATAACGCAACGCAACGCAAACGTTTCGTGATCGTGTAAGGTAGTACGTAAACTTCTCGTCCACACACACACTCACAAACACTCACAAACTCACAAGGTGGTGCCTAGGCGTAGCAGGGTGGTTCTAAGTGGGGCAAGGGGGGCGACCCTCGTGTGTGAACCCCGAATGAACCGTGTACGTAAAACTACGTTATGAAAAGTCAAAACGGGCAGGTCACCTTCACTCTCATCCTTCGTCGTCGTCGTGAGGTGATGGTGAGGGGTTGTGCTGCCAAAAGCTCCTCGTCGCAAACCCCGTCAGCAGTCCTCCTCCGGGAATGTACGTAAGAGCTACATACACTGAAAAAGATGGCGCGCCAACGTACTCGTCGCCCTGAATGGTTGGGCAAGTTGTGGAGGACACGATCCCGGCGTGAACACGACTAACTGGCGGATCCGCTCCTGACAGTCGCACGCGCCGCGCTGCGGCGCGTGCGACTGTCTTTGTTTGAAGTTAAAAGTCGAATCAGAGCGCCGTCGGCGTTGTCCTCCATTTTCCTCCCCTGGGCCG